GTTTTAGCCACCGCAAACCATCGTTACCTAACGGTCGACCTGAAATCTGCCAATGTCGACTTTATCACATGACATTTGCTTATTCTTATTGAATCGACGTCATATTCATTACAAATGTTATAATCTCGTGAAAAAAACGTGCCTTCAGCAAAAACCAACAATGAACGATTTAAATCATCTCCCATATGATTCAAGTATGGAGTTATTGGATATACACGTCCCCGAAAATCCATATTATGCGGAAAGAAAAGAACGCTTCCTTTGAAGTGGCTTGCCATCGTCAAACGATAAAGCAACCAGCACCATAACGAATTTAACTCGTTTCTGAAAACTAATAACAATCAGAATTTAGTGTCATTTCCTTTTTCTTTTGAATTTTTTTTTCCTAACTGATTTATATCTCTGGAATACATTAAAATGTAGATTAAACTCGTGAGTGTAACAGAAAGACACAAAGTAACTTAAACAGCATTGTACGTTAAACAATGAAGAAGCTATACAGCTGTATAAAGTCAGATTTTAATTTTTGAAATTAAAATCTTCTTCCGACTACGTGAAACTCTCGAAAATTTATAATACTTCTCTGGATAAAGAACCTTTTTTTCATGGCTTCATATTTCGCTTTTGAATATTCTCTCCATTCATTCATCGGTAACTCATCTACTTCCATATTTCCGAATTTAGCTGCATAATCTGGTATCAAAACTCGGCTCGGATGAACTGGTATCGATAACTTCTCCAAAAACTCCTCACTCGCTTTCGTTTGAGCCATTTGAAAAACCTAAAACTTGGAACAACTGCGAAAAGATGTTCGAATGTAGAGCAAAAACAGAGATGTGTATCAGTTAAAATCAGAAGCATCTTACCTTAAGAGCCACATCAAGAACAGGATCATTTATTTTCCACGGAGTAATACCCAAATCATTCAATGCATCGAAAACTGGCCGAGCTTGTTTGCTGAAATAATTTTCAGATATCAATCACTTAAAATGCAAATCTAAATTTAAAAAATACATTAAAAGCTTACTTACCGCGACTTCAACCGTTTCTTCATCTCATAATTCACGTTAATCGTTGAATAATCGGGATGTGTCCTTAAAACATTGAAAGAAGATCCGTAATACGGTCCACCTCCTCCAGAATCCAACCATGGTCGCGGAGGTACCTGTTGTGGTTCGAACATTTTTAAAATAATAAAAACAAAGAATAAAACTCGAAAAAAATTTGAATGAAGCATTAACACTTCTATATATTGTCACTAACGAGCAGACAACACTGGCGATGTTCCATTTATTGATAAATCTTTTTCTATAATAAATCTCATATTTCCCAAAATTTAGATAAAATTAAGAATGAGCGGCAAAGAACAGAAGATCAAAAATCAGTAACATAGCTAACATACTTCATTTGGAAAAACAACTGTTCACATTATTTTAGCATGGGACAAACTACATAATATACTATTTACATGAACGGCCAGGGCTCACAGGTATTATGAAACTGGTGAACTAACTTCCATAGGCAATAAATCAGTAGGAAAAACCATCCATTCAAATTGATGCTTGCTTAAAATTTCCAACATTGCATTGCATACTTTTATCATTTTTGTTACACATAAAACGTCCCCATCGAGAGAACTTTCTTCATTAACAACGTCTTTATAAGAGAACACGGGAATGTATATAATCTTTTCATGATCACCTGCAAACTAGCGCAATATTTTGAAAAAAAAAATCTTTTTTTGAAAATACTTTTATTCCTCCAATAATTTTCTTAGCAAATTTCAAAATTTTATTACATACCAGTTTTAATATGTATTTTGCATGCTTCTAAAATCACGGATGTTAAAAACGAGCCAAGCTGTTCCCGCATGCCAGATCCAAAATCAGCACATGGAAGTTTCAGCTGAGGACTTATGTGCATTCGAGAGGCACAATGCATCCACCATTCGCGCACAGTGTATTGTCGTGAAATTTCTGAATTCAGAAAGTACTTGACGTAGTCAGAAAAAATTTCATCTTGCATCTGAAACAATATAAAAACTGCTGATCATTAAAATCTATATGCAGAAAAATTTTTGCTCAGCCGTTGTGGCAAATAACATACACTGACCTTAGTTATAGTTTTTGACACTTTTTGCATAAACATTTGCCCAATGACATTCAAAATGGGACTTGCTAAACAGTAGGAAAATGTGGTTGCAGGGACCAACTCTTCGCCCTGAGCACATATTGACATTATCGTTGATAGCATAAGTGAGGTGCAAATTCTCAAATCCACAACGCTCATGAAATCTTTCACTGCAAACCATTACCAATTTTATGCGAAAATATCAAAGTCTGCAAAAACCAACACAATTTTTTTCACGTTAAGCTATAAACAGTAAATTAAATAACTTACAAGGATACTGGCGTAATTCTTCTACACGTAACGTCAAGCATTCCAATATACTTTTGTGCCAGTTCCATCGTTTAATCAAATCTTCTACTGGAATTTCAGTTGATTTTCGATTGAAATTCCTTACAAATAAATAACGATCGGCTTCTCTTTGCAGCTGCTCAGCAAATTTCTTTGCGTATTCATCCTTAAACAGCAGTTTGCTGCATTAAAAAAAATCGATCAACACTTTAGTTTGTTGAAAAAAGATACCTTTGTAAAAACAATATTAGAATAAGGCGATCCATGATATTCATCCCTCGAAGCAGGCTTATGCAAACCATTGACAAGTTTGAGGTCCTGGAAAAAAATCATTCTGCAATTTTCAACTGCTACTCATTGTAGAAATATATCAGGTACTAAGGTTCCGCTCTGATATAAAACTTACAGCTCTTTTACAAGAAAATATTAATGTTTTTTACCTTATCGTATGGCCATTCTTTTTCTTCATCCCTGTAGATGACGTTTTTGCCAAAAAGTTCACGTTCTCGGGAACGGATCACCACTTGATCGTCATCAGTAAACAAGAATCGATTGTAAAACCGTGGTAAGGAACCTAATCCAGCCTAAATGCATCGTAATGGATATTTCAAAAACGTGTACTTCACTTAAATTATAACCAAATGTAATGTATTTACACTCAAAATATTCATCAAAAATATAGAAATCAACCTGGGAAGTTAATTTACGTCTCAATTCAATGTGCACATCGTCGATATCATTTGATTTCCCATCAATTGTTCGGACTGCGATCCATCTTTCGAAACAGTCCAGAAGAAGTATCCAGGCTGCTTTTGTATCATCTCCTTGTATTGGCATTTGCTCCATTAAGTTTGCTAATGAAAAAAATAGCTGTAAAGGCTCCAGTGAATCAGCTAAAGACTGATTTCTTGAATAATGACTATATTGACGAGCAACGAGCATCAATGCAACACTGAAAATCTGAAAAGCAAAAAAATGCAAAACTTCAAATCCTGATTATTACGGATAATTACGGAAAATCAGAAATCTGCAAAGCTAGAAAATCTGAATCAGCTAAATGCAACATTCAAACGGAGAAGATACTTCATCATCTTCCCCATTCGCAAGCGACTTTTCACTGAGAGAGTCGAGATAAGCATGCGTGTAAGCAACCAAATTTCTGTAATCATCTCTGAGTGCGTACCTGCAGGAGGAAAATAATGACGTTGAAGGTACAACACAAACAGTTACCAAAGATGTATAAGAAAGATCGAACGCAATATTTCTTCTGCTGTTAAAAGAAATGATTTAGTATTGTACTGTTCGGGATCTAAAGAATGACGCCCAATTTAATAAATTTACGTGGGATATCGTGGACGTATTGAGATAAAGTGCATGTATGACATGTAAGAGAATGCACTTACCGAATCAAATTACACTGTGCCGTGTTTCGTTTCATCAACTCACCGTATCGTTTATATTCGCTTTTCAACTCTCTCACAAGGAGTGCTTTTGTCCGATCTTTCCATGCTGTTTTCTTCTTTACACCTTTTTCTTTTCCCGTCGCTTTTGTAATCGGTACAGTGACTGAAAAGAAAAAATGATAACACGTTATCTTATCATCTACACCTGCCGTTTGGAATGTTGAATTAATGAGTGGTGCATAAACTACGTAGCCATAACACAACTACATAGTTTATGTATCACGCACGAGATGCCACTTTAAGTACGGGTAAGTTGGATTCCATCATTTACATAAGGTTAATCCTTCGGGATCAAATGACTCCCTTAATCATTAGGTTACAATTTATATTTTATGTATTGCAATCAAAACAGAAGTATGTCTGAATTAGCAGAGAATTACGTAATTTATAGAAAAATTTATTTATTTCATAACTTTGTCATGAGAGCATACGAAATGGCTGTAGATGAGATAATATGATCTCTAGATATGTAACTCCTGAGTATTCGAGCAAGATTAAGTAACTCCGAGGGTGCTAGGATAGTAACCGGACACTGAGGAAAGAGAATATCACCGATGGATCTTCCAGATTCGGTCATGTGACGGTTCGCTTTCCGGATGACTTGTTCGAGCCATTTGAATTGTTTCAATGCATGAACATACTTCATCTAAAAGTAGAAATCCATCAAAGCCATCCTTCACGTCATCTCCACCCTCCATGCATCACGAAATTCCCATCCGACTCTCGAAACTCTCTCAGAGAAATGTGCAATTTTAGAAAAATACTCCCATTCACCTTCTCAATCCCTGTCCACATTATCAAATACTACTATTTCCCTTCCTCCCATCTTTCGTCTAATATATCAATTACGATAATCTCGCAGACTCTCATCATTTTCTGCTACTTCTCTTCCTCGTACTTTTCGTCAGAGTCGAGTCGTCAAACCCCTCTCAACAACCCGCACGCTCTCCATCTCCGCAGTCTCTTCTGCACCTCATCCATCGCCACACTATTTCTCACTTCTCATTCACGCCTGTCATCTTACAGCAAAGCCACAAAGGTGGCAGTTTTTTGCGGGAGATTTGACTTTGAGCAGTTTCAGTCTCGAATTGTTCGCGGTTAGTGTATTGGGACTGTCCGATGACGAGCTTCGACAATCCGGGATTGTTCTATCAGGTCAGTTGATAGTTCTGACATGTTATTCAAAGAAGGAAACAGACCGAGTAATTGCTCTTAAGGAACGATTTTTCGCGACGGGTGAGGAGGCGCAAGATGACGGACGCGAACTAATTGCCGAGCATAAGGAAACCGTCGAACTATTCCGGAATTTCATCCGAGAATACAATGTTGGTGGATTTGGTCTGGTTTACAGGTAATCACCACATTTCTCATTTTTTCAGCTAAGAAATTTCAAAAATGTTCTTGAAAATAATGCAATATTTTCATTTCTTATTTCAAAAAATGGATTTCCCAAAAAATTTTGATCATGATTGATTCGTTTATTCTTATTTTAACTAGAAGAAAAAAAGAATTACAGGGATCAGTTGAAAAGGAATTGCAGTCTTGGAAAACATCATGTGGAAATATCAATGGATGACTTAAAGGGTTTTAGCGAACCGTTAGCCAATAAACTACATCAGTGTCCTGCACGATTCCTGACCGCTGTACGCTTTCAACGTTTTTCCTATTTTCTATATTGATGTCACTGGAGATCATTTTAACTTTAGCACGTCTTTGCAGCTTGAAGAAGCGGCAAAACTTGTTGCTGATGAGGTAATGCAAGGTGTAGAAGATATGGCTGAAATTCATGATATACAGGTGACACTTCGTGCCGGCGAGCTTGCACAAAGTATTCGACAATTGAAAGTGGGTCATTTTGAAGGCTGGCAAACATTTATTTTTTTCCATGAGTAAATTGCAATATCTCTGTGATTTTATCATCTAACCTTTCTCTTTGCAGAGTGCTCAAGTATCTCGTTTGGTTAAAATATCCGGAATTATAGTCGCTGCATCACAAGTGAGGACAAAAGCCACTCGCATTTCGATTCAGTGCCGAACATGTCGACATACTGTGACCAATCTTGATTTGAAGCCTGGACTCGATGGTTTTACATTACCACGTAATTGTGGAGCGTAATATTTTGTTCTCATTAATTTCATTTCTTCAAATAATGCTTTTTTATGTATATTTCGGTCACGATCGTTGAAAGAGATTTCAATTTCATATTAAATTTGCTATTTTTGCAAATTGTTGAAAATTTTTTACTGCTTTTAATAATTTAGCAATCAGACCACTCAACTGCAACGATGCCCTATTGATCCGTATCATATCATGCCCGACAAATGCCACTGCATCGACTTTCAAACGTTGAAACTTCAGGAAAATCCGGAAGACGTGCCTCATGGAGAAATGCCTCGTCATATGCAACTTTACTGTGATCGGTTGGTTCATGTAGATATTTCAATTACTAGAGTTCAGTCATATCCGTTAGAGATTGATATTATCGATTTTCAGTTTGGTTAAAATTTTTCTATAAGAAAATAAAAGTTAGAGGCGTCACTTTTTTTCATTTTTCTCATATTACCAAAGTTTCGCAAGTTTAAGAAAAAATCGTCTTATAGGCTGTTTCATTTATTTGCAGCCATTTAACAGACCGTGTTGCACCAGGAAACCGTGTTATGATTGTTGGCATATATTCTATCAAGCGAATGTTCCAGAAACAGGTAAAAAATGCATTATTATTTAGAATTTGGAAGATGAGACCAATACGGTTTTTCAATTTTCCAGAAAACAACAGATAAAACGCTCTCAGGCATCCGTGCACCGTACATTCGTGTACTTGGAATTCATGTTCAAACAAGCGGTCCAGGACGTGCTGAACAGCGACAGTTCACAGTTGAAGAAGAGAAAATGTTCAAGTACTTTGCTATATCGTGAATTTAAGATCAACTATTGATAAGTGAAAGTGAAATAAAGAGACGCGATTGTTATAGGGATCTGTCCAAGAAAGCAAATATATATGATCTAGTCTCCCAAAGCATTGCTCCATCGATTTATGGTATAGAAGATATCAAGAAATCAATTGCCTGCTTGCTGTTCGGTGGCTCGCGCAAAAGGTTCTCATTAGATCATGTGTTACTGTGAAATTCCTAATTTACATCACATACTGTTTAGATTGCCTGATGGATTAACTCGACGTGGTGACATCAATATTTTATTGCTAGGAGATCCTGGTACTGCGAAAAGTCAACTACTAAAATTCGTAGAAAAGGTGTCTTTTTTACTTGGTTTAGAAATCTCTGTTAAACCACTCGTATTCATTTGAAATTATTGGAATGAAAAGATGTTTTTAAATGTGCTACTACTTATACGCTGTTAAGGTTGCACCGATTGCTGTCTACACGTCAGGAAAAGGTAGCAGTGCTGCTGGATTGACTGCTTCTGTGAATCGCGACCCTCAGTCGGTATTTTTCTTCGTTGTATATATATGCGCACATGAAATTCAAAAGGATAATGAGATGAATTACAAGGAATCTGTTATATTTCATTGTCCTATCCAATGTTCCCTATATTTATACAATTGCTGCATGAAAATGTAAAATTGTGTTCGTGACGAATTTAGTGAATTTAGTGGATAAGACGTAAAGGATTACTCGAAAGAGATATTGGATATTCACCTAATTAATAGTGGAAATGGAAAAAGCAGATGAAAACAATATGAGAAGAGAAATGAAAAGAGGCATCATCGCCCCTCCTCCATATGAAAAAAACCTTTTCTAATTATATGAAAGTATTGCTTTATCATTATCGCTTATAAGTATTTTCGTTTGTCAAGCTTTAGCGATCATTTATAATGGAAGGTGGCGCCATGGTACTTGCTGATGGCGGTATCGTTTGTATCGATGAATTCGACAAAATGAGAGAAGATGATCGAGTGGCTATCCATGAAGCGATGGAACAGCAGACAATCAGTATTGCGAAAGTACAGATTAAAATTTTTAAAAGTTCGGAAATATGAATCAGATGAGTAAAAAGCAACTATGGACGATGATTTCTGTTATAGGCAGGCATCACTACAACACTTAATTCGCGTTGTTCCGTATTGGCAGCAGCAAATTCAGTATATGGTAGGTGGGATGACTCAAAAGGTGATGAGAATATCGACTTCATGCCAACGATACTGTCACGATTTGATATGATTTACATCGTCAAGGACATTCACGACGTCACACATGATATGGTAAACATCATTTCTTCAATTTTCAAAACAGAAAACATATTTATAATTGAAAATTTCTCATATGAGTTTTTTTGATAAGAGCATGTCTGCAAATCAGTCGCTATGTATATTACTATCACAGATTACGCAGCATTGCTGCGTTGTTGGACTTCTTTGTGCAATTATCGATGTGATAATACCAACTGCTTTTGTCGCTAATTGCTTAACGAATAGAATTTTCACTTCCAGTTTTTGCAATATAGTTTCCAGATAACGGGAATATTTGATTTGTCCAAAAAATTAAACTTTTTCAATTTATTTTCTGACAAAATTCTTATTACAGACATTAGCCAAACATGTTATTTCGGTGCACGTGAATGCTTCCAATAATCGTCTGCAAGAAACAGTTGAAGGGGAATTGTCGTTAGAGCTGTTGAAAAAGTCTGCTTTGTATTTTTTTTTTATAATGTCTTTCTTTTAACAAAGTCATGTTATTCTATTCTTTTTACATTCAGGTATATTGCATATTGCCGCATTATATGTGCACCACGACTCTCAGCTACTGCAAGTCAGAAGCTTATCCATAATTATGTCCGACTTCGCAACCCTGTAATAGATGCCGAGCATAAACGTAAATTGCTTAAAAAGTCATGTCATTGTTTAAAAATATATCGTTCAGGCAAATTGAACTTAGTGCATGTAAAGTGGAACTTTTCAGAGACAACAGCTCGGTCTGCTATCCCAATAACTGTGCGACAGTTAGAAGCTATAATACGAATAAGCGAATCATTGGCAAAAATGGAGCTGTTACCTTTCGCTACAGAACGTCATGTGGATGAGGCACTTCGTCTCTTTCGAGTTTCCACCATCGAGGCAGCTGCGTCTGGGAACTTGATTGGTATATTTCCATTTCAATACAACTGGGTAAAAACATTTGGCAGCTTTGCATTAAGATTGATCGCTGTATTTTTTGCATGTTGCTTGAAATTATCTATTCAAATTTGGAACCATTTTTCGGACACAGTAATAAATCCCTTTGAACGCGTGACATTTTATAATAACTTGCAAAAATTGGTTTGTGTCTATAAGAGTTGATTTCTAAACTTATTACAAAGCACATATGTTAGGCATCGAAGGTTTTACGAGCGCTGAGGATCAAGAATCGTTTGGTCGCATTGAACGTCAGCTGAAGAAACGATTTGCATTGGGAACTCACGTCTCTGAATATCTTATTGTCCAAGACTTTGCACGACAAAATTATCCAGAAATGCTTGTCAAAAAAGTATGTTCATTCTTGGATGTGTTATAGAATTGGCTTGACGTCTCACAAGATCAGCAGCACCAATTAGTTCAATGTTTTCATGTACTGAACTTGATTGTAGATAAAGGAGTTCGTACTGTATCAATTCCTTTTATTGAGTTCGGTACTAGGAACAGTCTTTTATTTTAACACATGATTTATCATGTAGTAGTGGCTTATTATTTTTGGAAAATTGCTCTTATTTATCATCAACAGTCTTCTTTAGTAACAATTTTTCAATTTTTGTTTCCAAAATTCAAAAGAGCTTGGAGTTTTTTAGGTGATTCAGTCGTGCATTCGGCGTGGTGAACTTCAATATCGTATGCAGAGAAAAATGCTGTACCGTGTTAAATGATCTTATGTAGCATCATGTGTTCATTCCTTTGTATTTTTCTATGAAATGGTGCATTTCAAGGACACGATGAAGCTCTTTCGGAAAAATTAATTTTATTTTAAAACTGTTGTTTCCAAAAAACTGCATATTTTTTCTTCATATTTTTGTACTTGTGAACACTAAAAAGGAGATCTTTCGCAAATAATCTTTTTGTCGTTTGCAGCTGATAATAGATTAGACGATAAACTGTTGCCATGCGTTATTGTCTGAAAAATGGATCTAACGAAGAAAGCTAAAATAATCTAGCAAGTTCCCAAATGACATAAAATTTTTGGTTTGTTTTGAAATGGTAAACTTTATCACTTGCCTGAATTGATGAAATCTGTTTCATTTTGCTGATTTTTTCAGTATTTTCATGGGGTACTGTACCGATCTGGAGCAAAAGCTGATAAATTAAAGGAGATGGTAATTATTACAAAATGTAAAGCCTCTTTGATTTACTATGTAACGGTTTTAAAACTTGAAAATTAGTCGACAATTTATCCCTTGCTATGCAAGCTGATGACTTGCCTATTATTCTACTTTGTACTTACATGTAATACGATATGGGCACTCCAGAATACTGCGCTTGACATATAAGTTGCAACCATGAATAGCCTATTTGGTTGTACACCTAAAGGATCGGTGATAATGTGGAAGTAGTACGCCGTTACACCCACACATCGCAAAATTTCCTGATATGAGGCATAGATCCTGAAAAATTCTCGTAGCAGGAATTTAAATCTAAAGTTTTGAATACTTTTGTAATTAGAGCAGAGGAAAGGTTTTTTATTTCTACTTAGAGTTTACATAGACTTAGAGTAAAAGACAGAGCAAAGAGTTAGAGTTGGAGTTAGAAAGAATTAGGGATAGAGAGACTTAGACTTGAGTAAAGAAAAGTTTTTTACTTCTAACTGGCTGATCTTGTTTTTATTTCACCTTTTCTTCACTTGTCCATGGTCTTGATGTAATTAACAAACTCAACCAGTGTTTGGTAAATCCCGAACGAGACCTTCCTAAGACAACGTATCTCAAGTTCATTTTTCTCTTTTAGAGTAAACTGTCATTCCCTTTGCGGCCGCTTTTTAAATTGCAAAATTTTCCAGCCTAAATGGTATCAATGCACTTATTTTTATCCCTTTTATCTTCCAAGATCACGTTGACTCGAGTTCTAGTAACGTGACATGTTGAGCCGTAATACTATAACCTTCTCTGCACTATTTGGTTGATCTACTTTCTCTCAGCTTCATTTCTTGTCAATGACCTATAATTAGCGGTGCATAAGATGTTCAAAAATTAGTCTGTCTGGGCTCAGGGTTTCTCGTCATTTTCGCCTTGTTTGAATTTCTTCTTACCGGGACGATGACGACTGATAATGATAATGATAAACGTGGAGCCTTTTCTGTTTGTTGTGGACTTTAATTCATGCACTGATTAAACTACCAGTTGCTTATACCGTTTGTACATGAATGTAGAGCGATTTTGAACTTCACCTCATGAATCGAAGAGATTAATCGGAGGTATTTAATACAGAATCCCAAGCACACTTAGAAACATTTTCTTATGTGGAGCGAAACATATAAAGAACAGAAACAAACTTGCGGTCGAAAAAAGCTCCCAGACATTGGATCGTTGTGACGAAGAACGCCAATTTGAGATTGAAGGTGAAGTAGGACATCTGACTGCGATCGAATTCGAAGTGGAAAAATGCGGCTAATAGGAGTAGGAAATGTCCGAAACAGTATATCTTTTTCCAGGTAGGAATTTCTGGATTGTAACGGATTACTTCATTTTCAACCTGAATTATTTGGCTCATATTCATCAAAGCAAAGTTACAAATGAAAAATTTTGCAGATTTCAGGAAGTATGGCAGCTATTGTTTGCTTTTTTACGAAAATTCGAGTTGAGAAAATGAAGAGATTTTTTAGAAGTTGAATTCAATTCACCATTGGGATGCCTTCCTCGTGGTCAACCATTGAAAACCAATGGAAGTAGCGTCGTACTTTCATGCCAGGCATGTATATTGGTGGATAGTAAATGGCCTTCAACTTTTCAATTCCTCGGAACATCCATTCGCCTTTTTCCGTCTTCATTCTCCACTTGACAAATAACAACTCATACAATGTGTGAAACTGGAAAATATTTGATATGAGGAATTTGATCTCGTGATTTAAGCAAGCGTTGAAGAGTTTTATAAGTGCGTGATCAAATCCAAAAACATTTGCACGAATCATATCAGAGACTTTCGTGTGATGTTAAATTATAGTATTGGAAGTTAAAAAAAAAAGTTTTTTTTTTAACTTTAGTCCACATACATTCTTGCCCCAAGTATAAGTTTTTGGTGAAATTTGAATTCTGCCTTAAAATGCATCTTTAAAGAATTTAAAATATAAGAAGCAAGACCTGGAGGTAAATCTGATTGAAAGTCCTTTCCCGGTTAATGGTCCCATAAACCGGTTTTTCAAATTGACGTTCCGGCTCAAAGGTACCAAACATTTTATCCCATATGATGAACACCGCTGCATAATTACGATCAATGCAATATGGATTACGACCGTGGTGAACACGGTGATGAGATGGCGTATTAAGGATAATTCCCAGCTTACCGTAGTTATCAAATAACTGCAACTGTTAGAAGTTGGGACTTTTGTATGCAGGGAGATTTCTACTTAGCTGAGAATTTAAACTCTCCTCATTCATTAAACATCTGATTGCTACGTCAGTGAGCAGTGCAGTGCAGATGAAACAGATCCGAGAGACCATCTCATCTCGATACTTACTTTATTTACTCATTTCTTTCCTAGTCTTCATCTTCATTGTTTACTCTTACTATTACTATTAATATTAATATTAATATCTATTATTATTATTATTAAAAGCTGAATTAAATAAGAAGCAATACGGTGGTATGCAATGTGAATTGATAGATCTCGCTAAAGTATCGGTGAACCAGAAATATTGATGGCGGTATGAAAAATGCCTGCAGAACATCGTAGATGGCAAGTCCAACATCTAGAAAATGGCAAACTTGGAACATATGAAACTGTTTGAAAATAAAAAGGAAATCCGATTGGTATCGATCGATATTTCTGAAACAATGCTGCAATGTTAACCTTGAATAGCAGCTTGTCGTAAAGCTGTTGTATAGTTAAAATACTCAGAACTATGATGTATCGTATGAAGTCCCCAAAGAAATCCAATCTGTAGAAAAGAAAACTTTGAAGTGTCATTTTAAATGCAAAAAGAATTTAATTAAACTGGGGATGAAAGAGACGTATCATGAATAGCACGATGTCCGAGGTAATACATAAAATCCTGGAGAAATAGACAACAAATCCAAGTTAGCGTTGAATCCCACGAGTTCTCGACTAGTCGGAAATTGTTCCAAATGTAATCATAAACAAATATTGCAACCGTCCTGCCGCTGAACCTATAAAATTCCCATTATGAGTAGTTTTTTCCGGAGCTAGGAGAGCTTGAGCTAGCACGCTTCCCACAACTCACCTGCTCATAATCTTCAATCTCTCGCAATTCTCCTTCCTCTCCACTGCTGTATTGTGGTCTTCAAATGCAAATATTTAATTTCAAACAAGGATTTAAATTCTGCAAGTGCGCTCTTCTTTTATCAAAGAGATGCGGTCAGGATGAAATGATTAAGCAAAAAGATACTTGTTGAAAGTGTAATTGGTGGAAGGAATTCATCAGTTGACGGCTTTGGAACGCCACCGGTCACCTCAGAAAAGGTCAGAAAGTAGCTGCTAGCATTGCTTATTGATCAAGAATGTAAGAAAATTTACTTGAAACACTGTGAGAGAATACCGGCAGAAATTGATGTAATAGAATCGTTGAGGGCAAATCGATCGTTATGTCCACGTAAAAACAGCAAGCAAAATTCGAGTATGATAAACAAGAACCACCAAAGACTGACCTGTAAGCTGATGCGTAACTTCTAACATCAGACTTCAGGTTTCTGAAGACTGTTGGAGGTATTTTTCTAAACTGGAATGAAGACTGGTTAAAAATCTTTCATATAACTCAACCAGTAACTTTAATTTAAATTCTGATCCGTCCAGCAATGATACCTCTCAGGTATCCCTTGCATTGCAGGCAAGATGCATTCAAACAATCTGGCAAATATCTTTTTAGAATCCTCGAGACTTATGCAAGAATGATTGCTTGCATGAGAACTGTGAAGTGCAACCTTCACAGTGAATTGACGCGACGAAGGATGTCACCTGGGCAGTGTAGTTGGGCACTTCGTGCTCACTCCCGAACATCGTTTCATTCGGTGTAATCAGGTAATAGGTATGGCGTAGACTGTTCAGGTCAAGCCGATATAACATGCGTCGGCCTAGCGAAGTGTTGGCGATGATGTGGTCCAGCCATATCCGGGTGTCATTTGTCGATATCGCTAACATTAGCAGTGATAGTATAAAGTGAAAGGAGAAGCAATCCCTGGGATATCTGTGCATTTTATTTATTCAACAATGAAGATAGGGCTTTCAATAAAGTTAATAAATCTGCTAATCCGTTTTATGAAATTGTGAAGTTTGCTATGCATGAACGGGTTTTCCTGCATCTCTTCGCTTATTAAACATTCCTGCGGAGCTGCAGAAAATGCTGCGCAATGATAGTATATTGCTTCCTTCGAGGATAGCCTAAGCTATGCTACTCTTATTTTCATTCCCACCCAATTTAGAACCTAGGAAGGAAGGGAGGGGGGAGGAAATTTTGGATCTAAATAACCGAACTGATTGCATTTCACGAAATTAAGAAAGCAATAGGATCATTTCACGATATTCATTCTATCAACACTTCACAAAGGCAAGAAGTAGAAAAGAACAGAAAAGATGAAATCAATTGTTATTTTAGATGCGATCTGCAACTCATCAAGCAGACTCGTGACAGTACATTCTGCATTCCGGAGAGATACAGTATTGCACGGTGAAACGTTCCGTTACATTTCGTGGCGCAATAGATGAACGGAAAAGGGTGAATTGATTCTCACTACCGTCCTTAGAAGAAACGACCGAAGTAAAGAGGATGATAATTATGAGGGTGTGAATAACAACCAGCAGGTTTCCCTCAGTCGGAACGGATATGGGCCAACTTTTTGTCCGTCATCCGTCCTCCTCCATTCTCCATCACTCTCAATCTCCGCATCGTTGATGTCTCTTTTCATTTCTCTTCCCGCATTGTTTTCATCCGCTTCTTCCATTCCACTATTAATTAGGTCAAATGATCCGATTTCTCTTTCCAGTAATCCTTTGCGTCCTATTCAAACCTCAAATTGAAATAAAATCCACTAATTTCAATTCTCACGGATATAATTTCACGTTTTGCGACAGCAATTGTATAAATATAGGGAACATCGATAGGACCATGAAATATTAATCCGTCCCGTCATCCTTTTCAGCAACGGGACTTTCATGTGCGCATGTATGGATGGAATTAATGTTGGATGATTTGAAGAAGCTTTTTTAAGAAGCCGGGGAGGTGGTAAGCGCAAATGTCTTTCCTTCATTTCGAAATGCTGGAATTTTTCAGTTAATGAATATGTGTATCTTTCCTACACATCTTCATCTCTTCCTTACCTTCCCTGCGAAGCATTAAATTCTTTCTCATCATATTATCTTCCAGGCAAGAACGGCTGCACGCCCCAGAAAATCCGGTCTCCGGAACACGAATTTCGTGGAATTCATTTGGTCACCTTAAAGGTGACAGATAAGCGGCCATTCATCCTCGATCATCAGAAAATGTAATGTTAATACAAGATGTCTTTAGTCAGTTTAACTGCAAAATGACGCCTTAACCCACCCACACTTTTGTTCCGTCCGTGGCGTAATTTGTGCTGTGCTGGGACTGACCCGCAATGTTCACGATTTGAAATGAGGATGGATGGACGGTGGATTCGGGTCAAGGTCGAAGTGATGTAACAACGGGACTTCTGCAGTTAGAGTCACTAAAAATTTCTCTTGACACCGCATCCCACTCCACTGTATAGCTAGTAATTAACTAATGAGAAAGATATGATTCCAGCTTTGCTTGAACCGCTAACATTTCAATCCAAATTTTATTCTGCTGGACTGAAACTGAAACTTTTCTCTTGTTTGGAACATTTCCTCTGCTGTTGGGTACTTATGAGCAGCAAGCTCATATTGTTCTTGCGCAGTTAGTCTTACAACTAAATTAGATTCATTTTATTCTTTCTGTAATTGTTATTTTCAGATCCAGACAGATTGAAAAATAGAAAGTATTGTAGGTGGGTCGAAGACATCCTTCAGATGGCTTCAAAGCAGACAGCTTCCGATGCAAAGATTGCTGTGAGTACATTTCAGTGTGCTTCATCATCAATGTTCCGACCTATTATTTCAGAAGACGACTTTCATAATTATAAGATTGCGTGAAAGAGATGAGGTATTTAAGTGAAATCTGAAAATTGTGAATTCGGTGGGTCAGATGGCTGGCCGGAAGAAGGAAGAAGAGCTTTCTCTTCTCAGCACCGCCATCGTATCCTTAGTTGAGAACAGCCAAGGATTCTTCATTGGTGTCATTTCATTTCACTTTAATTAGTCACTTGCTTAATGTTTTTTGCAATGTTTCAAAAGCAGCAAATGTGCTGCCTTCTTCCCGGCACTGCAACAAACAGTAAAGTGAGATTGATACTTCACTATCTTTCAACACCACCTCGTTGCATATTTAAACTTGAAAATTTATCACACATTTTGTGAGCATTTTGTCCTGAGCGGTATTATTCCACCACTCCCTTTTTCCATGTGATCATTTCAGAAATCCGATAGAGAGGAAATGAAAGAGTAAAGAATGTCTGATAGTTGTTTCGATGGATTGTTGAAGAAGTGCAAGTAAAATCATCAAATTTACTATGCACTCCATCCGGTCCAGAGCTTATAGCAAAGCTCACTTAATAGCCAGCCATTCGTAATAATTGTTACGGTGCCCGCATTTCTAGCACACATGAAAACGGTGACAGCAGCAGCGTGGAGAAGCCGCGTGGATGAGAGAGCTTGAAAAGAAGAAGCGAAAATGTTTTGTGCCAGGTTGTGCAGTTGTCACCTGCGCGCTGTCAAGAAACAATGATGAGATGATCCGTCATCCCACCTTCCCGTTCCTCACCTGTTGTTGATAATGAGTAGTCAAGGTTAGTGAATGGATGCGCCCTCTCTTATCAAACCACATTTACATAAACCGCTCTTGTTAACATCGGAACAAATCACCTGTGTCCGTCGATCGTCACTGTAAGTGTGAATTGGGGATCACCCTGAGTGCAGAGGTCAGCGTGGACGGTTGTGCGTGACCTGCCGTAATCGAGATCTTTTCAGAGAAGACAACCATTGCATCACTACAACATGCAATGGATGCGTCTGCGCAAATGTGTGTGCATGTGAGTGTGCTGAGTAGATATAATGATAGGTAGTTATCATGGTGATGGGTGAGAAGGTGAACGCATATGATATATAATATTTGTAGGAAGTAGTCCTTAAAGGTTGCAAGGAGCGGAAAGGGAGAGAGGTTGAAAGGGAGTTATGCGGGTGCAAGTGACCTTGGAGACAGCTGTGACTGGCTGCACCCCGGTACCGGCATGTGTTGCAGCACGATCTATTATAACCAGACGAAACAGTCTACCTAACCTGTTCTGGAGAAAGTCCCTGTACCAAAACAATCTCGATCCCCATTCCCATGGACATTATGTTTGCTTAACACATCCGCCGTTAATCAAACAACCTTTAGGAAGCGGTTGACCTAAGGCGCAACCATCTACCAACTCACTTCTCCTTTAAATTAGAGATGTGACCAAATGAGTGCAGTTTCAAGAGTGATAATATTAAGCAGTTCAATGATAAGCTTTCATCTCTGGGAATGTCTAAACTATCTCCGTTACCAGCATTGTACCACGTCCGGATCCCGGGCACATTTCGGGTCAGTGAAGCACTGTATGGAAGATATCACGTGCTCCACGTCTTCCAACTTCACTGTTTCCGACCCACTCACTTCCAGCTGGAACGGTCACGAAGAGAAACGTTCACGGTTTTGGGTTCCACTTCTCGCTCTAACAACCATCTCCTCCGCTCTTCTAACACCTATTCCCG